AGTTTCTCGATGGATCATGAATTTGCTCAGCAACTCTAGTCTGGTCAAGGTGCCCTCTTTTTTTTAATATATAAGTCTGGCAAGAAAAACCTGCAGCATTGAAGAGAGTTGAGTCAAGCAAACAATAGGCACCATAAGTAGGATGTATGAATCACTGTGATTCATAGCGTGTGTTATAAAGGTTGATAAGTTTGAAGTGACAGAGAAAATTCTGTGTATTACAAAAAGTTGTATTGAGAAAGAATAAACTGGTTTAATCAAGAAAGGACTTGTACCGGAAATTATCAAACAAGCAGATACATAACAATATATTATATACATATATAGATTATTGCTATTTTGAAATAAGATCTTAAACATATTTTTCATAAAACATAGAACAATAAATAAAGAAGTAAAGCAAACAATTCTCTCTTCTGGTTATGACCTTTTTACTCGGTTGCTGCTTTAAGTAGGTTGCTAAGCCTTTAAAAATTTTGCATGTTGAGGATATGAAATGAAATATTTTGTTTTGAGCTTCCAATTGGTTATTCATGTCATATACAGAAGTGTATATAAGGGAGCATTTCCAAAAATGGAAAGAGGTGGTTGGGGTGCCACTGTGTTTGATTTATTACATGAGCAATATCTTAGCAAATTGAAAAGAAATTATTCTAGGACAATCCACCATTTTCTGGTGGCTCATCAGTAAGCTGGAGGGCCTATAATACTAAAATTTGGGGTTTGATTCCTTCAGAGAACTTGATGCAGATAGCCCCTTTAAGTAGCTTTTTATTAAAGCAAACAAAACAAATTAACAAAAAAATTTGCTGATTTTAAAATTCTACCATCTTTGATTTATACCAAACAAAACACATAATATTGTTCCAGGCAAAAAAATTAAATAAAAACAATAATAATAACAATAAATTTTAAACCTGGTTACGATGAAGGGGTCGTGAGTTTTAGAAAGGTTATCATTTTGTCAGTAAATCACCTCTGGCTTTAACTCAACCTTATGTTAAAGACTTGTTTTAGGTATTGAAAACTGTATTATTGTTTCAAAAATTATACATATAATACATTTGGAAAACAAGCAAAATTACTTTTTAACAAAGTTTTCGATCTTTGACCTTGAAATGAAATGCTCAAAATTGAAATATTTCCATGGAAATGTCAGTTTCTCTGCTTCTCAAATACAAAGTTACAGCAAATTAATATTGTTTGTTTGCTCATTTTTTTTTATACAGAATCAAACTAATGAACCTCAATTCCAAAGAAATCTGAACAACAATAATGTAAAGTTTTTCATTTGCTCCACAAAATCAATGATAATGTAATTTCATTCCAAAGAAATCTGAACCATAATGTAGTTTTTCATTTTTTATTCAAAATCAAAGCTAATGAACTTCAATTCTAAAGAACTCTAAACAACAACATAATATTTTTTGCTTCCTACACAAAATCAAAGTTAATGAACTTTAATTCTAAAGAAATAATTTGATCAATAATTAGCAAAAC